AGAAGTAAACAGCTTCCGCACAGCTGCCTCCAGTTCAACTAATAAACTGTAGGACTTGCTCCTGATTGGAGGAGAGCAGCGTACTCGGCGTGTGGGCAGCCGAGTTGGGATTGGCGGAGGAGGACTATAAAGGAGGAGAGAGACGGCATGCACCGGGAACATCTATGGGGAACATCTGAGGGAACACCTGTGCAGCCCCCGAGAAGAGCCGGCCGGCGGTGTGCCGCTCCCCTGCGGAAGTGGGGAATGTGGCCAGGGGGAACTGCCCTTCCACGGAGGTGGAAGGGATAGTAGCCAACCCGGGAAGAACCAGCAGCAAACCCGGGGAGGGCCGAGCAGACAAAAGAACAGCGTAGGGTCCTGTGTCGTTCCTCCACGAAGAGGGGGAGCGACACTGGGAAAGCAGAAGATGGCCCAAGTCCTTGGGCCCCTATATTTGCATGGGAGACCCAGAAGCTCCTGGCTCCTGGCTTCAAATCGGCGTAGCTCCAGCCATTGCAGTCATCTGGGGAGCAAACCAGAGATGGAAGACCGCTCGTTCGCTTGCTCTCTCTCTCTCTTTCTGTCTCTGCCTCTCTGTAACTCTGCCTTTCAAATAAGTAAATCTTTAAAAAAAAATAATAATAAGATCCCTGAAAAAGTAAGGATGGAAATCTTCAAACCCACTTGTTCAAATCATTTTAAAAATAGGCTCAAAATACACACTTTGAAAGAGCTGCTCCAGCACAGTCCTAGGGAAAATTTTTAAAGCTATAATTGCCATTTCTTACTACCCATCATATTGTCCTAAAAAAATAATCAAAATTTATCAAACTAAGACTTCCAAATACAAAGGGAACCTATTTTCAGAGTTAATTTGCTGTGTCCAGGTAGCTACTTAAGCCTGGGCAAACACTAAAGCACTGCCTGCCCAGAAGCAAGTCCCACTGTCCCCCAGAGCCCTCCAGAAAGACAGGAAGGTGGAGGCGGGCTGCTTGTGCTCTGGGCACACCCCCGTCCAGCCTCTTGCCTTATCTTTTCAGAGTTGCAGGAGACTTCCTGGGAATTCAAAGTGAGTGGTTCTGTGGCATTTTACAGGACACTGATCACTAAGTCGTCCATGGCGGTGCATTCCAGCTGGGTTAGCAGTTTGGCTATAGCTGGAGGCATGATTTCTCATCACTGCAAATTACAAAGCCCAGAGCATATGCGGGAGGGTGGGCTGGGGACTGCCAGCTCTGCACATCCCCGGCTAGGAATGTTTCCACTGCTCCCCACTGAGAGCCTCCTCCTCTCTCCTCCCCCCATAACCAGTGCCAACCTCAGCACATCTGAACTTGGACACCACACAGCCAAGGAATTTACCAAAATGCCTTGAATACCCCAATTTTAAAACATTCATAATACTCTCCATAATGAAATGGATGTGTTCTATCCATTTTTCAATCCTTTTTTTTTCTGTTTTCTGTCTTTAATCCAAGTGAGAATTTTCTTCTCCACCTTGTTGGGTAATACATCCCCACTGTAGTCCACGTATTAGACACAGAATGGTTTTTTAAAATTTCATCACATAGACACAACCACCACTAATGTTTCCTTCCTGTCTTTTTTCCACACAATGTTTAGTCTGCTTCACACATAATTTAAAATATATCCTAAATATTATACATCATTTTAGTTGTAAAGCAGTCCATTTAGTTATTATACTATAACTTACTTACCCATTCACTTGTTAGGCAATGAACTCACTTTCAACTTTTCTTTATTATAAAATACACTTTAAAGAAATCTTTGTGCCAAATCTTTTTCGGCATGTCAAGAACTCCCTTGATAACAGATGTCTAGAATTATTCTATATGTACTAAATTGCTCAGAAGAACAAATTTTATTTATTTATTTATTTATTTATTGACAGGCAGAGTGGACAGTGAGAGAGAGAGAGAGAGACAGAGAGAAAGGTCTTCCTTTGCCGTTGGTTCACCCTCCAATGGCTGCCGCGGGCGGCGCACTGCAGGCGGCGCACTGCAGCCAGCGCACCGCGCTGATCCGAAGGCAGGAGCCAGGTACTTATCCTGGTCTCCCATGGGGTGCAGGGCCCAAGCACTTGGGCCATCCTCCACTGCACTCCCGGGCCACAGCAGAGAGCTGGCCTGGAAGAGGGGCAACTGGGACAGAATCCAGCACCCTGACCAGGACTAGAACCCGGTGTGCTGGCACCGCTAGGCGGAGGATTAGCCTGTTGAGCCGCGGCACCGGCCAGGACAAATTATTTTAAAGCTTTCAAAAATACATTGCCAAAGGATTCTCGTGAATTTTGGTGTTGAAATCTGACATATCACCCTCCCATACGCAAAACATTCTCTCCCCAGTCCTGGTTCTCCTCTCCTGCCTTGGCCCCACTCAGCAAGGGACCTGGCCCCAGCTTCCAGGTTTAGGTCCTCTCACTTGTAAGCGCTGGGGGTTCGCTCTGTACTTGCTTTCATTGAGCCTGTTTTCACTCATCCTCCAGCCCTACCACAACACACTTAGGAAAGTATTCTATTAACATGCATGGATCACATGTTTACCTCACCTGCTTTTTAGAATATAACACTTAATAATTGGAGACTTTTTAAAGTATTAACCCCCAAAATACCAAAAATAGTCCTATGGCAAACCCTCTAATTCCTTTTCTGTAGAAGTTTGCACAAGTTCCTAGTCAAATTCAGGTCATATTCAAATTATCCACATTAGTCTACATGAAAACTCCTTCTATCCGAGGAGCTTTCAATAGTTTCTGCCCTCTAGTCCTTCATTTCCACAAAGAAACAACTTCCCTTTTTTCTTTTCTTTCCATAAGAACTTTAACAACTTTCAAAGAGTTCGAAATCATGTTTTGTTGGCTGCTTTTTTTTCCAATATCCCACAAATTATTAATTCTATCACACTAACAGATTTAACACAAACATTTGCACTAACCTTAAATTACTCAGAAATGAGAAACAGGGTAAAACGTACACACAGTAAAACATGATGTAAAACCTCGGCCATAAATGTACATAATCATTAAAATAGAAGTGGTCAATCTAAGCACAACTGGCTATTTGTACATTTTTCTATTAATATTTGTGCTTATTCAATCAGAACCAGCACTGCCTCATAAAAAAGAGAAAGTGCCAAAGATTTAAGAACAAATTATGTGGGGCCAGCATCCGGCACCGTGGCTCACTTGGTTAATCCTCCACCTTCGGCGCCGGCATCCCATATGGGCACCAGGTTCTAGTCCCAGTTGCTCCTCTTCCAGTCCAGCTCTCTGCTGTGGCCCAGGAGGGCAGTGGAGGATGGCCCAAGTGCTTGGGCCCTGCACCTGCACAGGAGACCAGGAGGAAGCACCTGGCTCCTGGCTTCAGATCGGTGCAGTTCCAGCTGTAGCGGCCATTTGGGGAGTGAATCAACGGAAGGAAGACCTTTCTCTCTGTCTCCCTCTCTCACTGTCTATAAGTCCACATGTCAAATTAAAAAAAAAAAAAAGAACAAATTATGCAAAGGAAGGGAAAAACAGAGGGAGAAAGATTTCTGAGTTGAAAAGTAAACATCACAAAGGTGATTTTACCACTTAAATCTATGCTTGCAAATTAAGAAAATATCCTCAACATTTAACTTCAGCAGCAAAGCCCCCAGAGTGACAAACATGTGGAGAGGAGCTCTCTTTCCAGGACCATCGCCTCCTTTCTTCACTCCAGGTGGACCGCACAGTCACTCCAACACCTGAGGCCAATGCCATGGGAACGACAGAGGGCAGCTGCTTCGCAAAGCTTCATGGGCCTCGAAATCACCTGCTGATTCTGATGCAGGAGGCCTGGAGTAGAACTGAGATTTTGCATTCTGACAAGCTCTGCTAGGGATACGGGCTCTGCTAGTCTGTGGACCAGACTGAGTAGCAAACACACACACTGCAGCATCTAGGAATTTATAATCACTGGATTTATTTTTAAAAGTTTCTCACATGCAGCTTTAAATGACTGATTGGCTCACTTTGCTTTATAAAGTACAGTCATCCTGCAATATCCCAGGGAGACTGGTGTTGGGACACCACCTTGCCCCCCATTAGATGCCAAAACCCATGGTTGTTGAAGCACTTGCATACAAGCTAGGCAATCCTGCCATATACTTCAAATCCTCTCTTGATTACTGATAATACTGAATATAATGTAAATCTATGTAAATAGTTGTTTTACATATTATGTAGGGAGCCATGACAAGAATAAAGTTTGTGCACATTCAGTACAAAGGCAATTTATTTTTCAAATATTTTCCATCTGGGGTTGGCGGAGTCTGTGGATGTAGAAACTGCAGATACAGAGGGTTGACTGTATAAGGTCCTTAAAAGGAAAAAGGGGGCCAGTGCTAATCCTCCGCCTGCGGCACCAGCACCCCGGGTTCTAGTCCCGGTTGCCCCTCTTCCAGGCCAGCTCTCTGCTGTGGCCCGGGAGTGCAGTGGAGGATGGCCCAAGTGCTTGGGCCCTGCACCTGCACAGGAGACCAGGAGAGGCACCTGGCTCCTGGCTTCGGATCAATGCGATGCGCCGGCCTCAGTGCACCAGCCGCAGTGGCCATTGGAGGGTGAACCAACGGCAAAGGAAGACCTTTCCCTCTGTCTCTCTCTCTCACTGTCCATTCTGCCTTTCAAAAAAAAAAAAAAAAAAAGGAAAAAGGACACCCTGTTTTTCCTTAAGATTATTAACAGCAATTGAGCATAGTCTACTGTAGATTAACAAAATGTGTAAGACACTAGTGACACACATTCCCTCGAGGAAAGAAACCATCAGCTGGGGGAGGGATGGCAGGGAGAAGGCTCACGCTGCACATTCACTCGCAGTTTTTAAACATTCAGCCACATGAGTGAATTTCCTATTCCGAAAATAAATTGTACTTTAAAATTTTAAAGCATTTTGTACAATATTCGGGAAACTCAATAAATGTTAACTCAAATTAATCCATTTCCCAGGAAAATAAGTAGTAGGCCCAGGGAGACCACTTACCTTAAATAAGTTAGCAATTTTCTTCAAAGAGGGAACATCCCTTCATGTCGCCACCTTCTAGGGTCATGCCATTCATCTACTTTTTATTATAATAACATTTTCAGCTGGATGACTTGCCTCTGTGCCTGCAAGGACCCAAGAGCATCCTCTGATTCACAAGAGATTGGAAAAGACTTCCATGTGTGCCCCCTAATAAGTCAGGTTCCCTTTGCTGGAAGCAGGAGAAAAGAAGAGAACTTTCCATCCCCTGAACCTCTGCTCTGAAAAACTGAGAATAAAGCATGTTTGTGCTGTAATTGTTATTAATAGCATCAGTGTTTAGATCTCCATAGATATAACTGCAATGAAAATCAGAAGCCAGTGGAGAGAATGAGAGAAAGAATCACAGAGGTGACCCCACAGCCGACCCTTCAAGTACACATTAACTCGACCGTCTGACCTGAATGCATATTGACCCAACCCCACCTGTACATTCACAGGTCTCCACAGCAAATACATTATTCTTTACATAACTTGGTCAAGCCTTGGATATGTGACTCTCTGAAAGTATTAATTATATTTGCAACTGCTAAATTAATATTCATGCATAAACTCTTAAATGCTTGTCTGGGTTCTGATCTTCTATTGAGTCACCGTCAGGCCAACCGAACCGTGTCTACTGAAGCTTCCTTCCCCAGGTCTCTCTCCTATTCCTCTACTCTCCCTTTGCACTGACATGGCCCTGGTCTGGTTCTCCATGACTTCACCCCAGCTCCTGGTCCTCTCCCTGTTATACAGCCTGTGCTCATGACTGACGGCATCAACAGCAATGGCTAAAGGGACAGGATCAGAGCTAGGCAAATCCAGGCTGAAGGGAAGCTGAGTGCCCTTGCTCTGCCAGAGGACTTTTGGCAATGGTCCAGCACGTGTGTCTATAGAAGCCCAGTCAACCATGCCTACTTCATTCTCTGAGGCTGTTAACCAAGGACACAGAGCAGTGGTGGGGTGAAATCCTCAGGGAGGGCAAAGGATGACCTGGCAGCCCAGTGGGTCTTCTCACCTCTCCACTCAGCACACAGCCCAAACAGCCATACAGCACAGCCCACACTGATGCCCAGCAACACAGTGGGAGGATGGTGAGAACAAGATGAGCCCAGCCAAGAGGGCTGCGGTTGCAGCAGGATTGTCAGTGCCAAGCAGGAAATCAGAAAAGAAACTTGGAAATCCAGACCAAGGAAGGACTGCAAGGGCTGAGGCGAGGGTATCATGAACGTCACATGTCTGCTCTCACCCAGGGCTTGAACTGGCTCCCTAACTGCCAGGTGATGGGTGTGAGGCTCAGCTATCAATCAGAAATTGAAGCCGGCGCCGCGGCTCACTAGACTAATCCTCCGCCTTGCGGCACCAGCACACCGGGTTCTAGTCCCAGTCGGGGCGCCGGATTCTGTCCCGGTTGCCCCTCTTCCAGGCCAGCTCTCTGTTGTGGCCCAGGAGGGCAGTGGAGGATGGCCCAAGTGCTTGGGCCCTGCACCCCATGGGAGACCAGGAGAAGCACCTGGCTCCTGCCATTGGATCAGCGCGGTGCACCGGCAGCAGCGCGCCGGCCACGGCGGCCATTGGAGGGTGAACCAACGGCAAAGGAAGACCTTTCTCTGTTTCTCTCTCTCACTGTCCACTCTGCCTGTCAAAAAATAAAAAAATTAAAAAAATTTTTTTAAAAATCAGGAATTGAGAGATGCTGAGCTGGTCCTGCCAGTAAAAAACAAGAGGAGCTACACATGGGCAGGACTACAGACAGGAGCAACAGCTGCTAGCCTGCTGGTCTGTGCTCCCAAAAACTCTTGGGAGTTGCTCCTACCTCACCATTATCATCATTAAAAGCAACAGAGACTCGGTAGGGTGGACCCCTGATAGACATCCCCTCTTATGACCATTCTCTTTGCCCACTATTCCCCAGCCACTCCGGCTTCTTTGAGGTTCTTTAAACAAACCAGGTAAGCTTCCACCCCAGGGTCTGCACTTGCTGTTCCCTCCACCCAGAAGGTTCTGCCCATAGGCACTTTCAGCACTTTCTCCTCCTTCAATCTTCCTTCAGGTGTCTCAACTTGCCTTCCCTGACCACCCCACAAAAATTGCAAAGCCTGTCCTCCACCATACCAACAGGCTCCTTTTCCTGTGTTCTCATACCATTTATCACACAACCATTCTGTATGTTTTCCCGATATGTTTACTGTCGCTCTCACCAGAAGCACATGGGTTAAGAGTCTAGAAAGGGTAAACAACTTTTCAAGAGAGAAAAATGGGCCGGCACTGTGGCTCACTAGGCTAATCCTCCGCCTGCGGCGCCGGCAGCCAGGGGTTCTAGTCCCGGTTGGGGAGCCAGGTACTAGTCCCAGTTGCTCCTCTTCCAGTCCAGCTCTCTGCTGTGGCCCAAGTGCTTGAGCCCCTGCACCTGCATGGGAGACTGGGAGGAAGCACCTGGCTCCTGGCTTCGGATCAGCGCAGCCGGCTGTAGCGGCCATTTAGGGAGAGAACCAACAGAAGAAAGACCTTTCTTTCTGTCTCTCTCTCTCTCTCACTGTCTAACTCTGCCTGTCAAAAAGAGAGAGAGAGAGAGAGAGAGAGAGAAATGATGTCCCAAGCAAAAGATCAAATGGCCACTTGTAGCCATTTCCTTCTTCCCACTGCACGGCCATTGGTTTCCAGTCTTGAACACCCAGACTCAGAGACCTCCTCCTTGAAGTTTTCTTTCATTAATCTCCTTTTCCCAAATTCCCACAACGTTGTCTACTTCATGTAAAACTTCACACTAACCAATAACACCTGTCTCTTCTGTGCTATTGGGAGAATTAAGTGAGTTAATCCATGCTTTAAAAGCACTGGGGCATGCTCAGTCCTTGCTAAGTATCCACAAGCTCTCACTTGTTAGTTAGCTTTGTCCCTTGTATCACATCCTGATGCATGTCTTGTTTATAAGGCAGCTAGATGATAACCAAAGAAAGAGCAAAGATCTTATCCTATATTTTAGGGTCTCAGTATATGAATATAGATTTTGAATAATTCGTTGTCAACTGAAACAATGGATTTCAAGTATCAAAGATTCATTTGAAAACCCACAGAGCTTCTATTTAAATGGTGATTCTAATCCTTTGGCTCTTCCAGGACTGACCTGGTGTGCAAATACAGCAAATCCCCAAAAATGGCATATATAATAGGAACTTCACTAGAGCACAAATAGCAAAGCCAAAATACTTTATGAAAGATCAAACAAATATTGACTCAAAGAATTTCCCCCAAGGCAATTGTTATAGTCTTATCTTGAATAGAATGTTTGCACAGCTAATGAAGTATTGCCATGGACTCAGCACAACCCTGGGCAGACCCTGCCAAGCAGAGTTTTCCATTCCCACTGTCTTATCACTACTTACAAAGCCCTGCACAAGCCCCTCTCCTCCTAGTCCCTCACCTATCAGTACTCTAATGCCAGGTGCGGGATTAAATGATAAGTAAGTTATACACCTTTCATCCATGGACAAAAGATAATGGATACTCAGTGCCTAAGATTCCATTTCCCTGTCCCAGGGTAAATATGCTCTGTCATTACCCTCCCAGAAGTCAATGAGGCTGCATCTGGTACTACTTGTTGACTTCTTAAAAATGTATGAAATAGTAGAAGCATGCAAAGAGAAAAGAATTCACTGGTTTCACAGAACATGCCTGCTTTACACCAAATCCTAATGAGAATTTACTTCCTATGGTTACTAACTGTGAAGCCAGCCAGAATACAGGAGCTTCAAAATGCATCTCCAAATCATAAACTATGCAGTGAGTGGGCTCCCTGCTGGCAGACACAGGGCTGTCGCACTCCTGAAGGAAGTCAGTAATCACAGAGAGAAGACCACATGAGTCATTCACAGCTCTTCTGCCTTGCCTCTTTGCATCTGGCCACTGAGTGCTAAGGGCGATCCAGGCACTATTGTAAGCAATAAGAAGACAATGGGGAATAATATAACCTCGGGAAGATTATATCCTGGTGAAAGAGGGGGAAAGCGATCGGCAGGATAAATGTAGAATTTCTACTGTGTTAGGTATTAGCAAATGTTAAGGAGAAGAGGGGGAAAATGGGAAAGCAGGACATGTAAATGTCAAGCAGTCAAAAGGGGGGAGTAAAATTATAGATGGGTAGCTGAGGACATCCTCAGTGAGAAGCCAACGTTTGAGTCTGAAGGAAGTGGGAGGCCAGTCCTGCAGGTAAGAGGGGAAGAGCATCCCAGACATAGAAAACTCAAATGCAGAAGTCCTGTGGCTGGCATGTTGGAACATTAAAGAGGCCAGCGTGAGTGAACACAGGTTTGCAGGGAGAATTGTTGGAAATAAGATCCAAGAGGAGCAGGAAGTGAGAGTACACAGAGCCTTGCTTCCAAAACATACTCGTTTTTAATCAATCATAGAAAAGCCACCCATTGGCCAAGTGTTTATTTACTCAAAACTTCATCAGTTATTTTTCCAAGAATTTACAACCATATTTCAAGGGCACAAAAGGAAGAAAGATAGATAGATAGATAGATAGATAGATAGATAGAAAGAAAGGGAGAGAGAGAGAGAAAGAAGGGAGGGAGAGGGAGGGAGGGAGGGAGGAAGGAAGGAAGGAAGGAAAGAAAGAAAGAAAGAAAGAAAGAAAGAAAGAAAGAAAGAAAGAAAGAAAGAAAGAAAGAAAGAGAGAGAGAGAGAGAAAGAAGGGAGGGAGGGAGGGAGGGAGGAAGGAAGGAAGGAAGGGAAGGAAGGAAGGAGGAAAGAAAGGAAGGAAGGGAGGAAAGAAAGGCAGGGAGGAAAGAAAGGAGGGAGGAAAGGAAGGAGGGAGAAAAGGAAGGAGGGAGGAAGGGAAGGGAGGAAAGAAAGGAGGGAGGAAAGAAAGGAGGGAGGAAAGTAAGGGAGGAAGGAAGGAAGGAAGGAAAGGAGGGAGGAAAGGAAGGAAGGAAGGAAGGGAAGGAAGGGAGGGAGGAAGGAAGGAAGGAAACCCTGCTCCTCCTGTTAATAACATTGAAAGCTGTTCTTGGTAACAAGTAAAAGTGTCTATAGGACTGGGACCAGGAGTCACAAAAGCAAACCTGGCTCAGCACATGGGCAACTGGATGCTAAACAATGC